GAGACAAGTATATCATAAGCCACCTTACTGGGGTGAAACTGAAAAAACGGAGCGGCAGAAGAAATTTGGAGAGTGTCAGAGAAGGGTGGCACAAAGACATGGAAACAGGATATGTTCTGAAATTTCTAGGAAACCCCGACTGAAAAAACGGAGCGGCAGAAGAAATTTAGAGAGTGTCAGAGAAGGGTGGTACAAAGACATGGAAATACGATATGTTCTGAAATTTCTGGGGAACACCGTGGGGAAGAGTCCTTTCTGCCCCAGATTATGACCAACCCCAGGCAAGAAAGTTTGGGAGCCTCAGGTGGGACGGATCTTTCACCCTCACCAATCAATTTGAGCAATGTTATAACCGAAGAGTTGGGTATCCCACACAAGTGGAAACACAAAGAGCCTAGTTCGATGCCTCTACCTGTTAAGAAGGATTTGTTGTTGTTTGATGAGAAGATAGATGAGACAAAGTCTCTGAAGCAAGAGACAGAGGTGGTTACTAATGTTAATCCCAGCAGTTTAAAAATAAAAGAACCTTTTAATGTTAACGGATGGTGCTCCAAAATCTTCAGCGGTGGGCAAGATGCTGGGGGAAGAAGGGGGAAACGCACCCCCCAGCAGTTTAAAAATAAAAGAACCTTTTATGTTAACGGATGGTGCTCCAGAGTCTTCAGCGGTGGGCAAGGTGCTGGGGGAAGAAAGGGGAAACGCACCCAGTCACACTCTTGCATGGTACTGTGTAAAGAGGTTCTGTGGGTGTTCTTTCTCTTTTCTGTTTTTTCAGGGCATTTCTTGTTTTGAAACAAACCTAACACAGTATGAGAGAAATAAAAGCATGCACATTATTACCAGAATGGAAATGCTGTGGTTAAACCTTCTGTGTAAAAGCCTGTGGTAAGTCCACTTTGAACTACCTATCACTTGTACATTTCCCTTGCCCTTCCCCCTTACCCTGGCAAAACCAAACACCTTCCTATGGTCCCTACAGGACATTAAGATCATGAAGATCTTTACTGAATCCACTTTTACACTACTGTCTCTATATATGGTCTGTAAAATTGATGGTCTACTTTAATATAACTTTAATTAGAAGGCAATACATGTAGATATTGCCAATAATAAATATAATTGTATTGGATAGATTTTTTTTCAAATTGATATTATTCTCTCCTTACCATGCTGCCCTTCTTTTAGCTGTGCTATACACGATATGGCCTACTATGCAGGCCACATATTGCATATTCCAGTTTACAACATACAGTGTAGTTGCTATTGTATTCTTTATTGTTAATGTAATGCTACCAATTCAAACTCAACCATAGAATCACAACCCTCCTTCACTGTCTCTTTCTCACTCCTGCAGATTCCATCTGCTCTCTTCAGGGCATCATCCCTCTCTCTGTCTCCTTCCAAACCAAAACCCTGCCTGATTCTCTCCAGCTGATGGGTCATTTCATTCCCATAGCACAGTTCCACTGACGCAGTTACTATATACAAATTCACTGTCTGCCAAACATCCCATAGCTGTTAATCATTCTTCATCCATACCTTACCATATTTCACTGCAATACAAAGATAGAAACTGTGACACGTGTCATTTTAAAACTTCATTTTCTTTTGATCTGGTTTTATAGCCACACCCTCCCTGTAGCCTGATACAGTAAGCATGCCTTCTCCTGTGACCACTTCCAGAGATGTGGTCTGTTAAATGTCTCCTACAACATGAAGTAAGATTTTCATATTACCCTGAAGACATGCTTCTGATTCTCATGAAATGGACTGTATCCAAGGCAGCTTGTGTCATCAAGAGGTGCTAAGTTTGTAAGGTACAGTATCATACAACATTTGCTGAGTTTAGAAGCATTTTTCTAAGTTTTTTTCCATCTAGCTTTTCACATCTAGAGCTAACTCATTGAATTAATGAGATAATGTCAATGTAAACCCCATTGTTTCAGGAACTGAAATCCTATTTCTTAGTAAGTCACAACTGAATCAATTGAATTTACAGAGGAGTTGACTTACCAAATCTCCACTGATTCAATGAGCCTACTCTTGTTGCAACATATTATACTAAGCGGCAGGATTTCAGTCAAAAAGTCTGCTGTACTTGGAGCTAACACCAATTTACTTTTAAAAGCAGTGTATGTACTTACCATAGAATAAGTTCCATATAAAAAGCAAACAGAAAAGTGTTTTCCAGTTTCCTTTTGATTTCTTCTGGAAAGGCTTCATCCTGCAAATAGAAGTAAAAATGCTTGTTCAAATATGCCATGTTTTCTGTGGAGAAAACATTCCTTAATAGACTTGCTATGTATGCTGACAAGAAAGGTAAAACCTATGTATTTCCCCATTTAAAACTCATCCACCTCTTTGGGATGTGGCTAGTCAAGCCAAATATGCTCTTTGCACCCAATTAGTTAATCATAGTTAATTTGTGAAAATCCCACCACATGTTGCTCCCCATCTGCACCTAATTGTCGACATGACACCCACCCAGGCAGGGAAGTTTGTTTGTTTTTGTTTTTTTTGTTTGGGGGGTTTGTTTTTTTGTTTTTTTATATATAATTGGCCAAAACCTCATTTTCTTTACCTTCAACAGTACTGAAAATTCGTAGGGACTACTGACTTCAGCATAGTATACACTAGAGCCTAACAATGTGCATTTGGCTTTCTGGAGTGCAAGAGAGTTTATCTAACAGGACATTTCTGCCTTCTGGTTTTTTTTTTAATCTTGTCCTCAGTCTGACTCTGATCATCACATTAAGGCTGCAATCCTGTTGCTTAATTACACATGTGGTAGACATACTACAGTCAGTAACAATGAGTCCCTGCTGGCTTGGTACAGGACCTAGAGAATCCTAGCAGGGGCTCCAAGTCATTAGCTGGAATTGACTGAATGTTATATGTGTGTAATTAAGCAACAGGATTTCAGCCTAGTGTATTTATTTTATACAGACATTTCATAGGGCAGCTAGGTAGGCTGTTCATATATGGTTACATTTTAATGTAATAACCTTTATTGTCAATGCACAACATGTGTGCAGTGAAATTGAATGAGTCCCCATTGGTACAACTCCACAAAGCACAAAAAACACACAATGCATCTCCAGCCTTATAAACAAATCCCCATCCCCAGGAATACTGGAATTGCCTACTTCAATGTTGTAACTTTCAGAAATTCATTATTCCTTACAAAAAACAACAACGATGCAGCAGATTCTATTGTATACTTGTTATGAAGAAGCAAGTGTGAACAATTTAATGTATTGTTTCTTATATTTAATTGATTGTCCTGCAATGTAAACCACCCACAGGAGCTTGCGCTAATCTGGCAGAATATAAACCTTCTAAATGAATAAACTATTTTCATGGAATTTTTGCCCAAAGTTTTTGTTTCTCTCATGTACCCATATAAGGAACTGAATCAAATATGACTTACATTAAAGGTTAACAAAGTCCCATTTGTTTGATAGGTGTTTCGTAGTTGGAAGAAATAAATGGACTTATGTCCAAAGTCACTCTGCCCTCCCTGTATCATGACAGTGACCGATCCTTTATGCTAGACTCCAATTCATCAGAAGCAGATAAAAAAAATACAGGGTTCCTGGCCCTTTATTATTTGTATGGAGGAGGAAATTTCACCAGGTGCAGCTTTTCTTGCAAGCTATCTGCTGAAATTTTCTCCTCCAGGTAGATCCAGGAACCTTGTCCTTTTTTTTATCAGGTTACCCTACTTTTAGTTTTTTAATGTCAAGAAAGCCTTCCAGCCGCTGAGTTTCTGGTTCTTATTGTTACTTTTTGTAGGATTGTTTGTGTGTGAGAGAGATGCATTGAGTATGTTTTGTTACAGAGAGACAGGAAGGTGGGATGATTTCTGAAATAGCTGTGTGAATTCACTATATTTCTCTTCTCCTCACCATCATAGAAATAAGTAGAGGTGAATTCCCAGTTAGAGTGTGTTTGTTTGCCTGACCATCCCCAATATTGTCTACTTTGAAGGGCAAGTGCCCTTAGAAATTTGTAGAGATTTCCCATCGCTTCACAGCTCCCAGGTGTGGGTCAAACTTGACATTTCACTACCAGCAGAGACTGAGACAACAGTTCACCTTGAATCAAGTCCTTAGAGTAATAATAACAAAATCTAAGGTTGGGCAATACTGGATCCCTATAATGTTACAAGAAGATGAGTTTGGAAATTCTTCAGATCTCTTAACCAGGCAATGATGGTATGACAATAGTGGTTAAGGCCAATGGCTCAACATTGGCCCTAAGCTCATGGAACCAGACTGCCAACAAAGCAAAATGGAGTTTAGATTCTATAAGAGGCGGAGGTGGCAAAGTTTTCCCTCTTCCTCCTTGCAGAGAAAAGACTGGCTTGCCCCATCCCACAGTTCTGCCAACCAGCTGCCGTTGGTGAAGTCACACAAGTCTCCTTGCACGCTTGGAGAAGAAAAACATGAAGGCCTTGGTCTTTTTGTTGGCTAACTAGAGAATATATTTTGATATCATTCAAGATATGACAGCTTTGAGCAAGAAATAATATTGGTGTAAATGTAGCAATCTTGAGACCTAGAGAGTACAACCCTCTTGAAGAAGTGAAATCCCCAGATTTTGGGGGCCCAGAGCTGGTTGCTGAACAGCTCTGAGTTGATACATGTGAAAAGTGAGCAATTCCTATTTAACCACCACCATTAACTTCATCTAAAATGATAAAACTGTGTGTCCCTATAGCCACAAGACCATGAAGTAAACACCTGATGCTTGGCATGGATACTAAATGGGCCCTGAGAATGTGCACCTCATGGGTATTCTGTTTTTTTAAATTGACATTTGGTAGTAATTTGCTGTGCCAGAGAGATGGTAGACAATGATTCCTCAAGAGTAGGAGGTCTCCTTGAGCATAGCAAGCCTTGAGATTTGGTGCAAATGCTTGCAGCTGGTTTTGGGTGGGGCTAGAGAGAATCAGCCTATTTAAAATCTTCTCTTCTGCCCTTTCTCATTGGTGCACCAGTAGGAGAACTACTTGTGATGGAATTGCCTGGTGAAACTTTTCTCTGTCCAAGTAAGTATATGTTTATAGGCAGGAAAACAGCATTCTATATGAGGCATGAGAAGGCTTTTTCTCCTTTGAAGATAAACAACAGTAGTAAGTGTGCTCAAATTGTTGGCTAGTAAATTGGGTACAGATTAGCAGCATTTTGAGCGGTTGGCTATACAGTAGTTTATCAGAATGGATGCCTTTTATTTTGTTTTTTCCAAGTTCTTAAGGATTTCATTAAATTTCCTTTGTTATCTGCTGAACGTTTTCTATCCAGGAGATGCAAATATACCATTACCTGGGTAACAGTATTTCTGCACATAGCATGGAAGTAACTCATTGTAAGTAATGTAGTTGCCTAGTGCTAGTTATTCTCGGTTAATTAGTAATTTACTTGGTGTTTAAAAAGTTGCTTTTAAGGGTCTCAAGTATCTGTTACCTAGGTATAAAACATTGCAAGTAGTTACTTTTAGAAGTTTTAAAAGATGTTTTAATGACATTCTGACAACAAGTATTCAAAGTTTAGGCCATTCTATCAGTCCTAAGCAGCAAGAGAAGCATTGTTTGAGTTACCTATATTTTTATAAATATTTTTGTGGTTCACTATTAAAATTAGTGGCTAGAAGAAACCAGATAAATCAGGGGCAGGGGCTTTTGAAATGCAGTCATATCACACAACCTAACAAATTGCTTTTGTGATCTAAGCAATAATAATAGCAACCTATTTGCCAAGAAGTAATGAGTAATACAATGCATTCCTTTTAAAATGCAATGTTCCAAACTGTTTTTTCATGGAGCCTTTACTGCTATTCCTTGTGCTGCTACTCTCTGCATGACCACCTAATTTCTTCAAAACAGACTTCAGAAAGAGATGCCATCTAGTAAATAATAAAAAGAAAGTGACCAGAGGGAAGAGATAAAGCAACACTAAAATAAAAGGAAAGGAAAACTACTCAAAAAGAACAATGTGAAGAAAAAAGTATGGAGTAAAAGAGAAAGTTATATTTCCTAGATATCAAACTGCAAGTATATTTAAATCTGTAGGGAGTATCATAGTTTTTTACTTTCTGTTATTTTTCCACATGTAGGCACTCCAAATCTTTAAAGACAAAGAAAACACTGCTCCCCAGTAAAGTGGCATGCCACCATGGAAGAATAATTTTCCTGTGCCAGGTGGTACTAAGGAACAGGCCATCCATGACGATCTTTGTGAAGAAGGGGGTGAGCGTTTGTGAGCCCAGTGCCTTCATAGCAGGACAAGATGGCTACAACCACTCAGCCCTTGGAACTCTTGGTAGCTAAAAGCCTGAGTAAGGCTTGTGGCTGCTTGGTGGAATGGCTGCCTGCAAGGAAATAATCCTTTTGTGGGCTTATGACACCTGAAGAACAAGGCCCTCCTGATGGGAAGGACTCCATGCAAAGTGTCTAAGGCAGAAGCCAGCTTTCAGCTCTGTGAGTCCAGCTTTATAAGGTTCTATTTTAAGGATGAAGATACCAGAGACTCTGTAAGTTACTGAATCCAGTCCTTTTCCTGGACTTCTCAAATACTACTCTTTTGTGCCTGAACATGTATTGGTGTGGCTTCAGCATTTGGATTGTCCAACCTGACTTCCATGTTATCTGGTTGAATTTTGCTTCTTTGAATCCTGGACTGTTGTTGATTCTGCTTTTGAACCACCCTTGGTTGACTAGGCTGCTTTCTGGTAGGGTTCTGTTTGGCTGAACTTTGTTCTTCTTTTTTTAAATTCTACCTTTCAAATGTCCTGGCCTAATTTGTCACTCTTTGGTTGAACCCTCCAGGTTTAGATGTAGCTTTGGAGTTCATCTCGAACAGGAAATGAGGGATGGAGTAAACAGAGGGAAATGCTGAATTGGCACAGAGATCGATAAAGAAATACCAGGAACAGGTTGAAAAAAGGAGATCCCTGAATGGAGAAAGTTTCTACCCCTTACAAAGTGGGTACCTCTGTTATCTATAATGTCTGTGGGTGCTGACCATATCTGTAAGACTGAAGCATAGCCAATTGAAACATAACATGGACACTAAGCAGACCCCAAGGTTCAGGGTATTTGTTTTCTATACACACCAACAATGTTTTTATCCTTGGTACCCCCAAAATGTGATTATAGACTTTTGTATACTACACTGCATTACAAAGGCTAGTTTAAGCTATGTGAAGTTGAGGCTGTTACCTTGTATTAAGCATAGGTTTTTAAGGCTGGTATTAAGTATAAAATTCAAACTTTACTGTATACAGTGGACCCTCTACTTACGGAATTAATCCGTATTGGAACGGTGGCTGCAAGTTGAAAAGTCTGTAGGTCGAATTTCCATTGACCTACAATGCATTGAAAACTGATTAATCCAATAACCGGCGGTTTTTATTCTATTTTTGTTCCATTTTGGGTTTTTTCTGGTCTGTAAGTCGATTCTCCGGCTGCAAGTCGAATCTAAATTTTGCAGCCAGAGAAGCTTGTATTAAGCATAGGTTTTTAAGGCTGGCATTAAGTATAAAATTCAAACTTTACTGTACTGTATATTAGGGTAATTCTGTGTGTGGGAGAGCACAAATGTGTGTCACAAAACGCAGCAAGAAGACAAAGTAGAATCAGACCTGAAGCCTTTGTGTCCTAACTCTCTCCCAGCTATGGTGAAAGTGGAAAAACAGCAGATATTTAATGTGTCTTTGATGTGATGTACAAATGAGTATTAGGATACAGCAGGAAACAACTACTTTGCTGGTTGAGAAGAAAGATGCAACAAAAGTTTCAGTTGCCAATTCTTTCTTTGATATGTGCACCATTCCATTAGTAAACATGTTACTCTGGGTGGTTACATGTTGTGTTTTGGATGTAAGAGTTATGCCTTTTCAGCAGAGGTTCCAGCAGAAAGAAGCACAACAAGCAAAGCAAGTCTTCTTCAGAGGCACTTTACTTTAGACAAAATATAGAAAAATAGCAGCAGACGTGCACTCCTACACACCCATTCTAACCCACACCAACTGTGCTGGCGTTTTTCCTTATATACAGGACCGAGACGCCTATTTACATAATCTCTAATGAGCTGCAGCTGTAGTGAGCTACAGCTGCCTTCCAAGAATGGCTTCCAGAAGCTCAGGGAACAAATGCAGGTTTGACCAGACCACAACAATACACACCAACAATGTTCTTATCCTTGGTACCCCCAAAATGTGATTATAGACTTTTTGTATACTACACTGCATTACAAAGGCTAGTTTGAGCTATGTGAAGCTGAGGCTGTTACCTTGTATTAAGCATAGGTTTTTAAGGCTGGCATTAAGTATAAAATTCAAACTTTACTGTACTGTATATTAGGGTAATTCTGTGTGTGGGAGAGCACAAATGTGTGTCACAAAAGGCAGCAAGAAGACAAAGTAGAATCAGATCTGAAGCCTTTGTCTCCTAACTCTCTCTCAGCTATGGTGAAAGTGGAAAAACAGCAGATATTTAATATGTTTCTTTGATGTGATGTACAAATGAGTATTAGGATACAGCAGGAAATGACTACTCTGCTGGTTGAGAAGAAAGATGCAGCAAAAGTTTCAGTTGCCAATTGTTTCTTTGATATGTACACCATTCCATTAGTAAACATATGTTACTCTGGGTGGTTTACAGGTACAGAATAAAATATGAAACCCTCCCCAATGCCCTGAACGCTACCTCCATATGTCAATAGGGTGATATGCCAACTTGAACATTAGTTAAAAACCAACATTTAAAAAATTTATGTTAACATTATTTGGGGATATGTTCTTAAAGGCTGCTTTATAGAGTCTAGTCTTAACTAATTTCCTAAATATCAGGAGTTATGGTGCCTGGCGTACCTAGGGTGGAGACATAATTGTTGTGAACATAGTTTGCTTGTGACTTCAAGCCCAGCTCCTTCTTATCTGAAGTTCACAGCTGCTTGGAGATCAAGCACTTATTAGGCATGCTTGATATTAGCACATCTGAAGGCAGTTTCAGATGTCCTCAAGTCCAAATTGGGTAGTATCAAAGTTTTGCTTCCTGCAAGTCTAATCCCCTCCTAGATCTCACAGCTAAGTTTGGTAGTCTTCAAGCATTCCACAGAGAGCTGTGTTGATTGTTAGATGAAGTCAAAGCACAGTTGTCCGTAAGCTTTCGGGATCACTAGAGCCCTTCATCAAGCAAGGTGCTACAAAAGTTGTAGAATACACAGAATGGGGCTTAGTTATCTGTCTCTGTGGCCACTGGCCTTTAGAGCTGACAGCTACTGTATGTAGGAAAGCTGTAATTTCTGGTAGAAATTCTTCTAGGAACTCGGACCAATTTTCACCAGAGCTTAATGGGACATTCTTTAATTTACTTTCATTTTAATTTCTGATACCACTGTTTACAATGAAAATTTTTATATCGTGTGACTCAGGCTGATTTAATACCATTTGGCAGTCGAAATTTCAGTGAAAATCAGCAGAATGGAACAGCTATGTACACTAGAACTGGAGACTGATGGGAGTAAATGCCTCTTATTTTAATAACTTATTTCTACGTAAATGTTTGTAGGTTTGTACTGTGACAAATCAATTTGCTCAGCTTGATGAGCATACGACAAAATCTTACTTCGATAGAGGGCTTGTGAATTTTTCTCACATATCACACTGTAATCCTGCAATCAGTCTTATAAGATGCGTAACTAATAGCATTGCAGAATTTAGAAAGTTACTTTTAAATTTGCAGCTGTGACTCCAAACACCTCCTCAGCGGTTCCTATCCATTGTAGTTGAAGTTTTGCAAAATAATTCCTTATATTTTCATTGATAGCTAAATGTTACCTTTTAGCCAAGTTTGTACAGGTTACTGCTTTGCATTGCAGTTCTTAGAAGGTTCTAGGCAGCAAATCTGTGTCAGGCCACATCCAAAGCTTAGAAAAGTTACATTTAAAAATGCTTCTCACCTGCCTTCTAGCTATAAAAATGAAGAAACTTTTGCATTGCTCTTCCTTCCTGTCTTGGAAGAATAATCTCCCCTTACTATAGAAAGAGAAATTGATTAGAAATCCCTTGTTATGTGTAGCCAGTGGTTCCTCAACTCTGATGATCCCTATATTGTAGCCCAGGTCTAAGTGACTGACCAAAACTAGCCTGCGGGGTCAACCTTGGAGAAGGATTCCTCTTGAGTTTCTCTTATACAGCTAAAATTCTTCCATGTATGGATAGTGTTAAAGGGAACCTCCTATATTTGTCCTCACAGATACATAAGTGGAACTCTAGGGTGTAGAAGGCAGCCGGGATTAGGGTCCAATCAAAACTTTAATGGCAGTGTTCACTTGTGTATGTGCAATGCTCTGAAACAAATGTTTTGCTGGAAACCTACTCACAATAGTTTGTGGGGGGGGGGAGAACCTCGCCTGGGCTAGATGAAGAGCCTTCTTCGTCCAGCATCTCACTTCCACAGTGGCCAAATAAGGAAGCAAGATAGAAATCACAGTGAAGTTTGTTCGTTAGAACAAGGTTTAGTGGAAAACGTTTCAATTTAGTGTCCCACCCACCCACTCACCCAAAATGAGGAAAATTTCTTATTCTGCATTATTTTGGCCATCTCATGAGAAAAGACTCCTTGGAAAAGACCTTGATGTTAGGAAAGTGAAGGCAAGAGGAGAAGGGGACGACAGAGGACGAGATCATTGGACAGTGTCATTGAAGCTACCAGAATGAATTTGACACAACTCCGGGAGGCAGTGGAAGACAGGAGGGCCTAGAGTGCTCTGGTCCATGGGATCACAAAGAGTCGGAAACGACTAAATGACGATTGGCTACATTTTCTTGATTTTTTTGCTTGCCTTACACCTTATCTGATTTTTTTTCTCCTCTGTTTTTGAAACCACATTTAAAAACAGAGGAATAGAAAGAATTTCAGAGTGAGGGAGAATACAGTATATCAGCAATGCATATTTATATGTGTTGGTCTTGTAGGAACTGGAATGTTGAGCTGTATCGCTGTGCTGACTGTTCTGGTTGGATATAAGTGGTTTTTGGAAGGGAAATGAGCTGTTTTCCCTCCTGGAATGATCTAAGGGGTTTCACTGGTTTGGCTAAATTTGTCATAAGAAGCCTCTGGCTGTTGTGTGGTGTGTGGGCACGACAATGTTTCCAGAAGGCTGTAGTAGGTCTTGATTATGGTGGTAGGGACCAATAATGTTCCAGTACATTGTTTTCTGCTTTATCTGTTACTGAGCAGTAGCATCTCCCAATCCGGATGAGATGTTTCTACCTGGAGGACCAAACTGGAAATTGTTCTATGGCATGAAAACAGATGGTAGTCTTCCAGAAAGCCTGTATTGAACCTACCCGTTTGTCTCCTGTTGACATTGCTTCTTTTGTTCATGTGACCGATACTGTTCTAAAACCTGTTAAAAGTTGCAGTTCTTTCTGATCAGCTTGTTCTTCTGAATTGGATTTGCTTCATTCCGATAGTGGATCTCTCAGAGTTGGTTCTGGGGAAAGAGGTTCTGTGGGAGCTCTTTCTGTTTCCTGATTGTTTTCCACTCCATGTATTTCTTATTTTACGTGATAGTTTTAAAACCAAACATAAACATAGACCAGAAGGGTGTTGAAAATATTCCTTACTTCCAGTTCCTCTTCCTGGGCAGACGTCCAGATGAAAAATTAGCATCCCATGAAGATGCTCAGCAAATCTTTGGGAGAGACAGTCCAACAGGTATTGAGGTCCCAAACTGTTGAGGGCTTATATGTTAAAACCAAACAGAACATCTGTGTTCACCTGTGTTTCCCTCATTCAATGCCTTCATTCACCCAATGTTCATAAAACTACCTCACAATGATATCTCAGAATTCCATCCACCCCACTCTCTCTCTCTCTCCTCCTCTTGGCCTAGCAAAACTGTTTAACACAGACTCATATTGCCCCAGATAGTTAGTCCATGGCTCAGGTTAATGGGTTAATTTCCCAATTCTAAGCCATAGTAGTACAAAAATGACCCAGGATGTTATGGGTGCAAGATTTCTTCAAGTACCACAGGAGGTTAGAAAGTGATGAGTGATCATTTCTAGAAAACCCATCTTCTTTGTGCTCTTGAAGTTACAGATAGTAGAATTTCTTAACTTAAAAGACACATGCGGTTACCATTAAATTTCCCCCATAATAAGTATTCCCTTTTAAATAATTATTTTATTTGTTTGTTCCATTTTTACCCCACCCATCTAGATTCGGGAATCTACTCTGGGTGGCTTGCAGAATATAAAGATAA